CTCCCTCATCAATTTTATGGTGGACATATCTTTTATCATGCATTCTTTACAGACTTTGACAGTCCAAGAAAAGACCTAGAACCTCCAGGATGATGATTCTAAACACCTGGAAAGCTTTTAAAATATAGATATATCCGAACCTTAATAATGACTCAGTTATCTTTAATAGGGCCAAGACAGTAGTCTCTTTTCAAAGCATCCTTCATGTGCAGTCATGGGGGACAGCCCACTAAGATATGGAGTTTCAGTGCCTTAATGTTCAGGATGGGTCAGTTATGTCTGAAAGTAAAGATGGAGTTTAAGATTTCTAAAAAAAATGTGCCCATTATGGCTGAGGGAATCTTTCTTGGCTGTAGAGAAATTCTAGAAGTATGTGGATTTTCTGGGATAACCAGTTTGTGGGAGAAGGTCCTTAGAAGTATAATCAGATAGGATATCCCCCAAGCTTACCCTTGTAGGTCATAAACCTAAAGCACCAGGGTAAGTGTGGGTATCTACACCCTTGATCAGAAAAAAAGAGGTATTCCACTTCATCCAACTGCTTAGCCTAAAGAGTGGAAATTTGTCTGCGGATTTTACAGTGGCCTTTAGGATTGTTCATTGAGAACACAGAGTTGTTACACCAGCACCCTGATTGTTCCACAGACTGCCTCATGCAAGTATATACTCAAAGGCCTGGCACCCCATTGCTTAAACACTTGAAATCCATTGAAGACAGCTATGGAATATGCTAATGTTAGGAGAGTTTGAGAATCAGGATACAAGGCTTTTGTATCAGCTCTCTTATGTATTTAAATATCTTTGTGTTCAGAATTTTGTTGCTCTTAAGTAATTTACTTATAAATGGGAAACCCTGTTGCACTTTGTGTGTGTGTGTGTGTTTTAAGAATTTAAATCCCACATATTATTTGAACCAATTTTGTTACATAAGACAATCTTCTTATTTAAAAATAGTTGAAATTAAATATAATATTACAATTACTTCATTGCAGTAAACAATATAGCAGATCTTGGAATATAGTATATTTTGTAATATAATTTAGTAGGTATATTACAGTAGATAATCTTGTTACTGTCCAGTAAAAAGAAGTTTCATGTGCTTCCTAGATTTTCTTTTTCTTTGGTGCTTTTCCATTTAAACAACTGGCTAAGTGAAAACTTGCTCAGTGTATGAAATCTGACAAGATTATGGCTCTTAGCTCTAGGATAATGAACTTATGTTATTTTATTCATTAAGGCCCTGAGGGCTAGAAAAAAAAGAGTCCAAAGAATCAGTCCCAGGCCTTTGTGGTAACACTGAAAAATACTGTTACTAAACTCATTGGTGAAATATTATTTTTACAAAAGTAAATATTGAAAACAAATTTTATACATATTCCCAGTCTTCATCAGTCCAGTGAAATATTACCTTAAAACAATGTTCAGTTAAAAAAACAAAGTCATCGAAAGGCAGGAGATTAAAATGGTATGTTTCTTATTGTAACTAATTTTACCATAAGTGCATACAGTATATTAATTAAAGTTTGCTTTAAGTTCAAATGCTGTTGAACAAATTGAGAAATAAAGCAAAGGAAGAAAAAAGTTTTAAAACTGCTATTATTGCATGATTCCTAGAAAGTTATTCTTATATACTTCATCATTATGTATAAAGGGAATTTATCTTTGATTGAGGTTTCAGAAGGCATTTACCATGAAAAAATTTTTTACTAGTACCTGTTTGGAAAACCAGCTGCATTTATAGAGAGAAGAAATTGCCCTTATTTCCATGTAGGCTTTTGGGAGCAGCTGGAGGGCTCACTGAAGTCTTCCTTAAGTGGTTAAATCTCAGGTATAACACTTCACCCCAGTTTCTCTCACTGAGTATTTTACTCAAGCTATTTCATCTAGATATCTCATCTAAAATTTTAATTTTATGAGCATCTGTTACTTCCTTCCTAAACATTTTACTACGCAATTGCTCACTGCTGTCCTGAGAGATACAGGTTACGTCTTCTCGTGTTCTTGGCTTTACTCTTCACACCATAGCTCCCAAGATTTTGCCCTTATTTTTAGTAAATCTAAATTAATAGCTTCCTTAGATGTTAAATGAAAACTCTCTTGTTACAACTTATTATTTTCAATATTAACTGAACTGAAACAGAATAGTACTTCAAAGAAAAACTGTTAAGACTTTTATGACCACATTTTTTTGAGATTGCTTCTCTCATCATTTAATGATGGCCATACATGTACTCCATCATTTTGCAGGCATCTACAATGCCAAAACTCATGGTGAAATTGAGGAGATCTATTTCATATCTCTTCTGTAAGGTGTACTAGGATATCATTTCACCGTTTTCTAAGTTAAAGTAATAGCTTTAAATTAGTCAAAGGGTAGAATAAAAGGCAAGAGGGGCCCATTGAAAATTCATTTTGGGGGTTGCTAAAGCCTCGAGACCCGTTGAACAGATGCCAGACTTTGGCTCATTCAGCAGTCAAGGCTGGTGCAATAGCATATGGTTGAGTCTCAGCCGTCCTGTGTTCTAAATCCAGTTTTAGCCTAGACAAACAGAATTATTTGAAGAACTCAGGTTAATTTTGCTTCAAATCTGCTTTCCCATCTGCTAAAATGGTAACAGAATTTAATGAAATTTGAAAGTTGAATGATAAGGGTTTTAAATTTCTCTACATTAGGTACTGTTATATATTCTACAAATCATGTAAGTGGAGCAAGAAATGGACCTACTTATTTGTGGGAAAAGTGGAAGTAAGCCTTTGGTTAGAAGCCCTTATTTGCAACAGGCGGGTGAGAATTGCGAGAGATTCCACTAGGTAGTTTGCTGCCTACAGTTCTGGAAGCCTTACCTAGTGGATGTTAAATCGTGTTGCCATTCCTCCCCCATTTCCTTGCTCTCCAACTCCTCTCCCTGTAAAAAGTGAGTAAATACACATAATATCATCAAAGACTCTCAGCATACACCTCTTCTCTCTGTCTCTCTCTCTCTCTTTTTCTTTGTTAATTCTCTGGGCCTTAATGTTATCAAGCTGCAGGTTGTGAGTAAAGCATTGCCTTCTCTGTGTTACGGATGTTCTATCTGATCACTGAATTACAGATGATACATGGGGCAAGATACAGTGCATACTTAAAGAAAGGAATTTCCAGCCTGAGAAATCCATGCTAAATCCTTTATCCTACTAGTTAACCATTCTTTTATGTGGCAAGATTGTATCTTTAGAAACATTTTAAAGTGTTATTTTGTTTCATATTATTTCAAAATCGAGGTCGTTTTTCTCTCTGTGTCTTAGATTTGTAGTAATTGCTACAAGAACATGTGAAGATGCTTTAAGCTTCGTTGCCTAATATGTTTGTGAGTGCGTCCCTCTTGTATGAATTGAGGAGGCCAACTAAAGGCAGACTGGCTTCTGAGGGCAGCAGTGGATCATAATTTACAAAGAGATGGTAGTAGTTCTGTTCACAAATCTATAACTTATCTATCACAATATGACCTATCTTTAAGTTTCTGACTTATCTAAAATACCTGTCTTGTTCATATAAAACACCCTTATATTCTTGAAGCTTAAAAGATAATTTGGAGTTCTCAGTTGTACCAGATTATGTGTTAAGTATTCAGCATGTGAACAAAAGCACAGAATGACTTGACTCTTTTCTGGAGAATATACTATCTTAATAAGATAGGATTGTTTTTCCCACCCAAGAGTGAAAATGTGCTTACACTCCTGAATAATGCTCAAGTTGAGAACATTAAACAAACTTGAATCTAATACATTAAAAGTTATAATTGAATTTATGTTAAATATTCACTTATTTTTCTTTGTAGATATGACATTAATTTCTATTAAATTTGAAGGTCACTAAAACTTAAACAGATATTCATTTAATAAAGATGGAGGGTAAATTGAATCTATTTAATATATTCAATGTATAGTACCATCAATTAATTTAAAAATTGTTGAGATAATGAAAATTGAACTTGCTAAATTTTAGTTGAAGATAAATATGTAAAATGTCTGGGGATAGTAAATAGTTCCAGGTTACTTGATTTAATAACAAGTAGTCTCTAAGTGAGTTAGGGCAACTTCACTGGAAGGTGATAGAGATGTCTATTCATTGCTGAGAGCAGTTGCTGTGTTAGTGTGACTATCTTAACCTCTCCCAGCAGAGGAGAAACAGTTATCACCTGTTTGTAGTTGATGGCTTTCTCCTTATTTCTGGCAGAATAGGTTTCTTCTATTCATAGGATTTCATTATTTTTAGTAACAAGGAAGTTCGCTTCATGGAAAGCAGCCTGCCTTGGAGCTTAAACTGGTTGAAATATCTTGAAGTTTTCTGAAAATTGCAGGGTGTGAGGGGGAATACATTTCTATCATTTTCCGATGACAGTTTTTACATCACTATTATTTCTAGTCAGGTAATAAAATTAGTTTAATATTTTTCACTATGAACCAAATTCACACATAAAAACTTAATTTATAGCTATACTAGATTAAGAAAACATAACTTTGAAGTGTGTTAATGCAAATCAACAAGCAAGTTAATTATTACTGAAATCAAAGTTCCCCTGAATTAACTCTCCTGAGATTGTATCTAAATAAATTATGCTTGTGTTTAGTTTTGGGCGCTAGACTTTGGACTGATGCCAACTACAGGTGCAAGTTTGCTGTATCATTTGGTTTTTATTATTCTGTTTTAAAATACAGTATTATACAATTGGGTTATTGATATACACTAAACAGAATTTTACCATAAAGGGCATGTTTTTCCCTTCTTTTTTCATATAATTAGAGACTTACGGTTTATAATTAGTTCCCAGGAAACATGACAACAGATATAAAAAGAATATGTTAGAAATTTCTTATTGGAATCTAGGTTTCTGTTGAGTCTGGTGATAGCAAATTTGGAAACCAAAGTTCACATTTTATTCTTTGCTAAATATGACTAAAATTTAAAGAAGGTCTGTTTGTTCTCATGTTTCTATTTTCACTTTGTTCTGCATTCCCAGCCTGTGGCCGTGGGTTCTACAAATCCTCCTCTCAAGATCTTCAATGCTCTCGTTGTCCAACCCACAGTTTTTCTGATAAAGAAGGCTCCTCAAGGTGTGACTGTGATGATGGGTATTACAGGGCTCCATCTGACCCACCGTATGTGGCATGCACAAGTAAGTTCATAATTGTAAAATGAGGACTTTCAAATCCCTTCCATTTGTTTGTAGTATTGTGACATCATTGAGATAGGCCTGAAATTTATGAGTACATTCCACAAACCGATGAGGCTAAACAGTAATATAAAAGAGATACATCTTACATCATCATCAGTGTAATTTTCATGTCTGCCAGATCAAAATGCATTTTAATCATATTTTACACATGTATTCAATAGGAGTAATAAATAAAATGTAAAAGTTATTTGAGTCTTGCATGGCTGTGAAATGTTATTAAAAAGTAATGGTTTCTGAATTAAAATTTTCCATCACTAAATAGGGCAAATCTTATATCTTGGTGCTTCAATTAATGAATGTTTGAGAGACTCAAATCCAAAGCCAGTTCCAGACATTACTATAAATCATTCTTGAGCAGATTAAGAATGAATGGATGTATTCTCTGTTATACGGTTAAAAGGCAAAGTATTTTTAAACAACTGCACAACTGTTTTTTTAAGTGCATTAACTGTTCTTTTTTAATAGCTTGGAAGAAAAATAAATAAAGACCGTGGCAAAATGACAAAGACAGTTGTTATCCTGTTTTCATTTTGACATATTAAATAGAAAATAAATAAGGCCTCTTGCCAAGTGAATTCAAGAAGGCTTTTATTCAGTTTCTCTAGGAAAGGTAATGAAATGTTTATGTGCAAGAGAGCATTTCAAGTAGTTTTCTGTATGGTGATTGAGCCACTAGCTTAATGCCCCACGTGGATCCTTTAGTTCATTTTTGTTTGTTTTTTGTCTATTTTTGTTTATTTGCTTATTTTTGGTTTCCAAAGGGCCTCCATCTGCCCCACAGAACCTCATTTTCAATATCAACCAAACCACAGTGAGCTTGGAATGGAGTCCACCTGCAGACAATGGGGGAAGAAACGATGTGACCTACAGAATACTGTGTAAGCGGTGCAGCTGGGAGCAGGGCGAATGCGTTCCCTGTGGGAGTAGCATTGGCTACATGCCCCAGCAGACTGGATTAGAGGATAACTACGTCACTGTCATGGACCTGCTGGCCCACGCTAATTATACTTTTGAAGTTGAAGCTGTAAATGGAGTTTCTGACTTAAGTCGATCCCAGAGGCTCTTTGCGGCTGTCAGTGTCACCACAGGTCAAGCAGGTATGTTTTTGTGTTTGTCTTGACTAAGTGAAAAATGTGACTACATAAGTGAGGTCTCTCGCTTAAATATCTCGTTAACTTGGCTCTACAGAACTTGATTATTCCAGCTTGTTGATTATTCACACCTTTAGCTTTTCTTTGCTATTTCTTCTGTTGCCTGTTAAACCATTACTAGACTCATTAACGTCTCCTCCAGAGATCTGGCAGGAGAAAGAAAAGGGGATAAATTGTAAACCAATTAAGACTGCTCTAAGAGGACCAACTCTATTAAGATCTAGGGGAGGAGAGGGAAAATATTGGACAAAATAAGATGTAGGATATTTCTTGCATTTTTTATTTACCTTTTTGTGTGCTACGTGCTTATGATTAAAATCTACAGGATAATCAGGAATGAAGGAGTTGGGTTCAGTGTCTCACATGGTGTTAACCAGTTTTTTGCCACATAAAATGTTATATTTGTAATAGATGGCAAGTCTGCCTTAAAATTTGCATGAGGGAATTTTACATTCCTCACTAGATTTGTGATCATTTGGATGTCTATAGTATTGGAATAAGTACTTGAGAGATCTCATGAGGCTTTCAAAATAAATGAAGTAAGAAATATAATAATCATGATGATTGTGAACTGGTAGCTTAGCCTAAAAGCAGTTTTCGCTTATTTTCTTATTGGCATTTAAGATGCCCTGCTTGGTCATTCTTTGCTATGGTAAGTAGGTTTTGGAAAATATAAATTGGGAAGGAAGCTTCAAAAGTTGGAGACTTTCTAAACCTTTAGAGAAATATTATTATTGGGGGAAGTTCCAGAAACTGAGGGCTTTTTCAAACTTTTGAAAGTTCTTGCTGCTGAAGGATGATGCTATGTAGTCAGAGTAGCCAAGTGCTATGTCATCGTCATTAATAAAATTGGACCTGCACTGGAGTACTGAGTTGTGTAAGCATCGTAATAAGCTTATAACAAGGTCTTCTTGATCTTTGGCTAGCTGTCAACAGTCAATATTATCCCAAATTCCTGGACATAGTCTAATCTATTCTTCATATCTATGCCAATTTTAATAAAATGTTACCTATTTAAATCATATCTGCACAATGAAGCCTATGCATATAGTCTCATGCTTACCATTTTGAACAGATTAGTGGGTTCCTATTCCAAAGGTTTTATTTTGATGTTTCTTTAAAAGGCTATTGCAAATCAGATTTCTTACGTAAAAGCTGAAGTCTGGAGGTAAAACCACATAGAAACTTTTAGATCTTCAAAAAATGGACGAAAGGAAGCAACTCATAACTGATATTTGGATTGATTCATTTTATTTAGCCTTACACCATTTGCCATTCTTTTATAATGCTGTTGTTAGTAGGTGTTTTTACTTGTTTTGCTTTATATTGAAATTTGTCATCGTAACGTTACAGTGAGTGGGTTTGAAACATTTTAGGTTCATGATTATGACACTAGAGCTATCTTTGGAGCCATTAATAAAAACTCTTAGGTCTGCTGAGCTAGAATAACTGCTTTATTCTTGCTGATAAGAAGTAAAAGAAGGGATATTTTTATTTATTTTTTTAATACAACCTAAAGATACTGAACTGATACCACAAGTAGAGTTTGCCAGGTAGGCCACTTTGGGGATCTGTTTCCATCATCTTTAAATGTCCATTGTTTAATTGTTCAGGTTAATACTACACAGCCTAAATAGGTCATAGATATTCCATAAGGTCCTGAATCAACTATCTTATAGTAGTTGCGTAAAATGGCTTTGTCCCCTTGATTCTCTTCCGGTTAAGAGCAAACCAGGTTTGTTTGGTTTTGGGGGGGAGGTAATTTAAATGTACAAAAATTAGATTGCTATGATTACACAACTATGTAAATATACCAAAAATTATTGAATTGTGTGCTTAAAATGAGTAAATTTTATGGTATGAAAATGATACCTCAGTAAAGCTATTAACATTTTTAAAAGAATAAATATAATAGAGTTAAAAAGCAAACTAGGTTTGTACTTTTATATTAAAATATTAATTCACAATTGCCTGGTCCCAACTACATCTCAAATACTAAAAACCCATTTACACTCAGCTTTTTCTGCTTTCAAAAAGAAAAGCATTAATAAGGCAGCAAACTGTGGTAATTTTTAAAGTTTTAATTTATTTTTTAACAGAGGAAATTTAGGATATGTTAGTGACTATTGTTCAGTTAAATTTGTACCCATTCCCCCCACCCCATCGTCAATATTTTTGCTTTTTCTAAGGGGGGAATGATTTGAAACTTTGTCCATGTTTATGACTACCCGTGGAAACCTGCCATGGTCCTTAAAATTCTCATTCTGTGTTAATCAAACAGCATCACCTCCCACCTAGTTTATGCTGCAGTCACTTCAATAATGAATTTAAGGATCTCTGGTCAGTTATCAGTTATCGCTCATCAGTAATCCACTGATGCCTAGTACAAAAAGAATCTGCAGGTGTCTGGGCAAGAAGAGAGAGTAAGGATGGAAAATCATCAGGCAGTGTTTGAAAGGTAGTGTGTACTTTGTAGTTCCTTTTCTATTAAGTTTGGAGTCTGGAGCTCAGGACCCCCCCATACCAGTGTTTGTGGAAATGGAAGTACATTGAAGACCCCCTTGTCCTTTCCTCAGGGTAGCAGTAGGGTTATTGGTGTTTAAGGACCTGTACCCCAACCCCTGTTGCCACTTACGAGGTATGTGCTGTTGGGTGGACCGCAAAAGTTCTACATGAGTAAGATGGAGATAAGATGGTATCTATCTTCCTGCATTATCCTGTTAAATGAGATATTGGAGAAAACTTAAAAACTTTTTATTGTCATAAAAATGTTATTGCAGTGAGTAGCGTAATGAGTGCTGATTAATCCTCTTTTTACGTAACTATGAACCTGTCAAGGCAAAACACACTAAAATCTTTACCTATTGCCATGTGTCCAGGGTGGGGTGTATAATCGAGGCAATTATGTGTTATAACATTGCAGGAGGGAGAAATTAATTTTTTTATCTAGTCACAAGTTATCTTAAGACTGAGGTTCTTATTTAAACCAATAATTAGCTTTAAAATGAGATGTTTATAGAGAAGCCTAATACGTGATATTCATATTTATATAGTTTTCGTATTTACTTATCGGGAACATATTACCTACACAAGCTGGCTGGAATGTATTCTTTTTGTTTTTGTTTTGTTAGGAATGATATTGACCTATTAAGGGTGAAGTCACACAGATCAAACTTAGGTACATTGGAGATATTAAATATATATATATATATATATATATATATATATATATATATATATATATGTAAGATGGAAAGCACATGCATTTGATTTATGGCATTATGATCCTCATTCTTCCTTACAGTGGAAGGCTCCGGGTAATTACACAAGTGTTCTGAAGAGGTAACTAAATTCTACTTTTCAAAACATTAACCCAGCCAACTGTACTGAGTAGTATATGTTAAGCACTGTGCAGGATGCTGAAGATAGGAAGGCAAAGAATGGTCCTATCCTTATGAGGAGCTGTTACTATAGCAGATATATATTAATTTATACAACTAATGATAGGACACTTGAATATAATGTGATGCATGCTATAGAACAAAATTAGGAACAAAATACAGAACCCCAAAGAAGGAATGATTCATTCCATCTGTGGAAAAAAGGGGAGTCCTCACAGAAAAGATGTCAATCAATCTAGAACTTTAGAATGGATATGGTTTTGCCAGAAGGAGGGCAAGTAAGTCATATTCTAGGCCCTCAGGCGGACCTGTCCCATGAAAACATAATCGTTACCACTGCATTCCTTCCACAGATCAAGTGCATTAACACACCAAAATGGGCTGCAGAAAAGTTAGTAAAAACGGGTCACCCGAAAATTACTGTCTCTGTCTGTAATACCTTCATTCACTGGGGGATCATTTAGACAACTAGATAATTTTTAACTTTTTTAGAAAACATAACATAAAATTATAATATGTGATCTTTCCCACAGACTTAAAAGACTTAGTCATTATTCTTCAGGTCAGTAATCATGTTATGTTTTTGTCTTTACCGTCTAACACAGTTCTTTCTCTGTTCCTAATGTCGTGTAATTAATTCCAGTAAGGAAACTAGTCACACACAAGAAAAGTTAAATGATTTTACGGGAGTGAAAACACTCAGACGTGAATGGAAAAGGCATAGGATTTGATATTTGATGACGTGATAGCTTCGTGTTAGACAAATTATTTCACCTCTTTAACTTGAATTTTCTCCTGAAATAGGATCATGTTACTTGACTCCTCATATTGTGGAAAAAAAAAACTGAGCTTTTAGCTTAATACCTGTTATACTTGTTAGAATAAAAACAAAGTGTTTTTGTTTTTGTAAGTGTGTTATTGTACTACAACAATGATAATAATAGAAGTAATGATAAGGGTTACAAGTGATCGAACACAATACAGTTTTGTTACTTTTTAAATGTACCAGGTACACGGAAAGTGTGTCAAGTTGAGTCACTTAATGTCTGTGGACTCATGTAGTCCTCCTAAATAACGGAGAGGTCTGGGACAGAAGACCTCTAAGAGCCCATCTTATGTCCATAATTAAATGGACAATCATAATACAGTACAAACTATACATTGCACAGTGCAGGGTTGACTGCAAATTATTGATAGCTGAGTAATATGTGTACAGATACTATCATTTTTGATGGGATCCATGACTTACAATGCTGTAGAAAGCACTGGGAAGGAATTAAGGATGAAAACTGGAACCTCTTGAAAGAGGATATGATTTTCCAAATTGGGCTCCCTAGAAAGCAGACACTTTGATTCAGATTCCTTGCAGGAGTTGTGTTAGGGCATGTACTTGGCATCAGCACCATCTGAAGAGAAAGGAAAGGAGCAGGACTGAGCAGAAGGGAAATTGAGCCATAATGCAGTCTCATTGGGATTCTCGGCCAGCTCCATGACAAGCTCTCCACCCATAAGGGACCTTCAGATTGTCCCAAGTTGAAGAGGTAG